CATATATAGATGACAATAATAGGACTCCTGACAATTCTCAACAATACTAAACAATAATTTACGAATTCTAGTCCGACGGAGGACTGAACTATAGACTGACCGGCGGAGCCGCGGCCGATAGCGAATATTTGCACTCGACCGAGGCACTTCCGGGTGGTTTTATGGTTCACCCTCCTTGTGAATTATGACAAAAACATATAGACTACCACAAGACATACATCACCAACGACAACCCTGTTTTTTCTAGCTTTTTCAGGGGACAATAACGAAACTAAGACACGACAAACCCTTAAATACATACAATTCCTGACCATAACCCTTCCTAATCCCTTAATAATACCCCTTGGGTAAGGAGTGAGGGCGGCTATATTTATAGCATAATCACAATAGTTAAAATATGAATACATATACAGGGTGAGAGATCGCCTAGGCCTTATTCGCGTGAGATAAGGTCGCATACTGTACTGTGTACAGCTATGTTTTATTTGTATATATGTAGATATATTAGTTGTAAAAAATTTTCTAAAAATTGAATAAAATGTTTGAAATGAAATGAAGATCGTATCATTATCTACAAAAATGGTCCCTACCATTTTTTTCGCAAGACGAATATTTTTTACAAAAACGGCCTTCGAAAAAGCCCAAATTTTTGCACTGAATAGAAATGTTAGTTTCTCACTGAATTTCTGCTTAAAGGAGTTGGGAATACATTGATTTTCATGTCTTGCACTTTGGAGACCAATTGTAAATGGCGCCAGCGGCATACCTCTGCTCACTAAATTATGGGGTCTATGAATGGAAATCCGGGCACCAATCGATCTTTCGACAATTATTGGCGGATTCTACGGGATTTTTTCTGTAAAGTAGAGTTTGGGGTATCTTATCTATATTGCCGAATGTTCTGTGTAATTTGCGTTGCAAAAGGACCCCGCAATAATCTTATGGAAATTGGGTTTCTGTCAAATTGTCTGAATTTTTGATATGTTGTTGATTTTGTCATCCTAAACAAAAGTCTCTATGGGCACAAAGTGCCAAAGTTATTATTTTGGCAGCTACGGAGCTGCCAAAGCTCCCCTGACCCGTCGCAAAACTATTCATTTTCAATACTATTTACAGATGTCAAAAGCATATTTAAATTATTCTAGTATATAGGGTAATGTTTTTGAGGTCACTGGATTCAACCCTCATGTCAGATTGGACAAATTGACCGTTAACAGCTGTCGATTCATTGTCAACGAGGAATATAAAAGTAAATATCCTCTTTTCACATTGAGAGTTTGAGTTTTTAAGGTCGCTGAACTCAATTCTCATGTCAGATTGGACAAATTGACCATTGACAGCTGTCAATTCACTGTCAACGAAGAAAAGAGAAGTAAATATTCTCTGTTGACATTGAGTTTGGGTTCTTGAGGTAGCTGAATTCAATTTTCATGCCAAATTGACAGTTGACAGCTCTCAATTGACTGTCAACGAGAAATATGAAAGTAAATATTCTCTTTACACATTGAGAGTTTGGGTTCTTGAGGTCGCTGAATTAGGCATTCCAACGACCTGTCCAAATGGCTACCAGTGGGTAATGACAGTTAAGATATGGCAACCCTGTTGTCATGTTGTCATTAACAGGGTCAATGATACATATATAGTTATATAGATTGCTCAAAGCTGGTCGTTTACGAGCGGTCATATTGCCTGGCAAATATTTATTAATTTGAATCGGTTTAGCAAAAATGTGTTATAAAACCAATTTTTAGCCTTTAGATATTAAAAAAAAATAATTGCCTACATTTTTACTTCAAGGCATAAGCTTATGTTTATTTTGAAAAATATGGATGATCAATCTATGTAACTATCTATTTCATTGACCTTGTCAAATCACCAGGCCTACAGGGTTGCCATAATTTTGCCATATCATAACCCGTCAGAACCCACTGGTAGCCATTCAGTTTGGAATGCCTAATTCAATTCTCATGCCAGATTGGCAAAATTGGCAGTTGACAGCTGTCAATTCACTGTCAACGAAGAATAGAAAAGTAAATATACTCTGTTGACATTAGGAGTTTGGGCTTTTGAGGAAGCTGAATTCAATTCTAATATCAGATTGCAAAAATTGTCAGTTGACAGCTGTCAATTTACTGTCAAAGTAGAATAAATAATAATGAAACTATTTTTGACCTTAGAATGATTTGTTTTAAACCTGCTAAATCCAAAGCTGATGTACAGTCAGAGAAAATAATAGTTTACAGCTGTAACTCTATTTACAATGAATGTTTGTATTAAAATACGTTTAACTTAAATCTTGCTATTTGCAACATTTCTATGCTTTTTAGATCATTGAATCCAAGTAAGTCATAAAATTGAAGACACCGTAAGTTTACAGCTGTCAACTAGGTATGATAATCTTCACCAAGAGAATACTTATGTTTGAAAGGAATACAATTATGCCCAAATATTTGATGTGTTTCGATCATCGCTAGTCATTGGATTCTTGAGAGGCTTCGTTTATTCAAAAACCCAAACTCTCAATGTGAAAAGAGAATATTTTCTTCTTTATTTTACTTTGACAGTGAATTGACAGCTGTCAACTGTTAATTTTTCCAATTTGGCATGAGAATTTAATTCAGCGACCTCAAGAACTTAAACTCTCAATGTCAACAGATAATATTTACTTCTCTATTCTTCGTTGACAGTGAATTGACAACTGTCAACTGTCAATTTGTCCAATCTAACATCAGAATTGAATTCAGCGACCTCAAAAACCCAAACTCTAAATGTGAAAAGAGGATATTTACTTTTATATTCCTCGTTGACAGTGAATTGACGGCTGTCAACGGTCAATTTGTCCAATCTGACATAAGGAGTGAAACCAGTAACCTCAAAAACATTACCCTATATATTAAAATAATTAAAATATGCTTTTGACATCTGTAAATAGTATTGAAAATCAATAGTTTTGCAACGGGTCAGGGGAGCTTCGGCAGCTCCGTAGCTGCCAAAATATTTATTTTGGTACTTTGTGCCCATGGAGACTTTTGTTCAGGATAACTAAATCTACAACATATCAAAAATTCAGACAATTTGACAGAAACCCAATTTCCATAAGACTATTGCGGGGTCCTTCAATAGAAAAGTGCAAAAATTTAAAAATTTAAGTTAAATTGCCTCTTGCTGTATTATGGATGTTTAGCTGCAGAACAATCCTTGAATTCACTCTGTACTGTCAAATGGTGATGGAAATTGTGTAAACATTGAATGAGAAAATACGGAGGATCCCTGGAAGTTAGAGATAAGCCTTAGACATAAGTTGGAAAATTAAAACTCAGATATAATTTATTTAAAATAATCAATTGCCTTTTACACTTAATTTCAATAATTTTTCCGGTAATTTACACTCACTTTATAAAGCAAATCTTCTAGAAGTGTCGCTAAAAGCTCTGTATCTAAAGGGTTTTCTATTTTATGTTTGTTTTAACCTAAAAAAAAAAGAATAACATTAGTAGAAATAATTATATGATAGATATAGCAACAAAAGACTAACCTCAACCCCCAAATCTTCGATATATATTCCACTTTAACTCATTTGTGTTAAATATAGAAAATAAAAGTAATCATTGTTTATTATTGTACTACTCGAACCCAGAATCGTGAATTACCTTTAAATATACGAAAGAAATATATAACAACCGACAATAACGACTCCAAAAACAATAAAGATTGTATACCAACAAAAGCAGACGATTAAGGTGAGCGCGTGGCGCGTGGGTAGACGTGGTTAGGTTATGATGGAATATCATGGGTTCAGGCGGAGAGCGTAAAAATCGAAAGGATAATTCTAACAAACAGTTAAGAACCACGCTCACATACGGGGATCAATTGATAGAAATGGAAAGGTGAGAATATCAGCTTCACTTCAGTCTGGGTAATAATGTTCAAAAAATAAACAGCGGGGAACAAGAAGTATTTAAATAAAAAAAAGTCCGGTTTTCCCCGGTGTAATCAATTTTCCCGATTTCTTAGCAAAAAAGCTTATTTAAAAACCCTCTTCAAACATTATCTTACATTTCTAGGATAATTGCGGCACACTAGGATTATCAAGAATGTAATTTTTGTAAAAACAAAAAAAAATAAAACTGTTTGCTTGGACGTAAATATAATCAAAATATATTTCAATTGAGGTATTACATGACTTTACTTTTTATTTCAAAATTTAAAAATAGTAACGCTTTCTATTTTTTTAAAGTGCATCTCATTATAACAAAAATATCATAATGTTTCTCTAATTTCACATCGTTTTTGTTTTATGTCTCTATCTTCTTGCATTTTAAAAACATACTACAAAATACTTTTATTTGATATCGCAGGATTGCATTAGAAAAATTCTAAATTCCAAGTTAACCTCCTCCCCCCTTTCCAACCGACTTACAGTATTTTCGGTTTTAGTTAATGCCTAATCTTATCCACTTATTACTTCAAATTTCAATTGTAAAAGGACTGTGACAGACAGAGAGACATTAATGTTTCTTATTATAAAATTTGGGTACTAATGCGCAAGTTACTTGAAAAATTCTATGTTTTTGTCTTACAAATTTTACCGTTTTCTTATGTTTCGTCTTTTTCAAATTTAATATTGTTTTATCACGAGAGAAAGAAGGCGAGAGAAAGAATCTTTCGAGCGAGCGAAGTGTCTTCTCGTCGAGACGAGAGAACAGTTTTCTCTCGTCGTACGAGACGAGACGAGAGAGGCCACTCTCTTGTCTCGTCTTGTCTCGCGGCATTACTACTTACAACTGGCCCATAATACTATTAAGCGTAATTTACACGAGCAACTTAAACTGTCGCAAGTTTATGTCTGAGAGTACTTCCAAAGAATTTGCTGAATGTAAACAGTGTCCGAGAGTCCTCTCCTTGCACGTCTAAACAAGTTGTGAGAGTGCTCTAGCAAGTCATAATTTATTTTCGGTTTTGTTGAAAGTTATGTGCAAGTAAAATTGGCAAATTGCAACATGGAAGGAAAACGTGTGTTGTCAAAAGAAGATACATTTGCTTTAATAAATATTTTTGAAGGGTATCCGGAGTTATGGCAAATAAAATCAAAAATTTGTAGGGATAGAGAAACAAAAAGCATTCAAATGTATAGCGGAAAAATTTGACACAACCGAGGCTGAAGTTCAACGGAAACTACATAATCTTCGTACCCAAGCAAATCAGGAGTGGAACAAAATTAAAAAGAGAAAAAGTGGTCAAGGTACTGATGAGATCTATTCAAGTTCGTGGGAATATTTTGAATCACTAAAATTTCTTGTTGATCAAAATATGACATCAGGGAGCGAGGATAATTTAGTGGTAAGTAAAAATGGTAATTTTTAGCAGTGTGTTTTATTTTTAAATTTTTACAAATAAAGAGTAGGTACACGCGATAAAATTAAAATGACCATTCTTAATATGTGTATACTGCCACGAAACTTCACCTTCACAAGAAATAAAGTAATCTCGAAATTCTTCTCGGATTTCTTTAGCCATTACCGAGTAATTGTGAGCATTGTCGTTTTGTAGTGGTAACAGGTTTCCTCCAGGTACTCCTTCATTGCGCCAGTTTCCATTTTCTTCATTTTCATCATCAAAAGTTCCTGCCGGAGCGTATATGTTAACAGATTCTTTACGAGACATGAGGAAATTATGCAGCACACATATAGTTGTTGTTATTATTTTTACTTTTTCCGGTGCAAGCGTAATTGGTTTCCTTAAAATTAGAAATCTACTTGCAAGGATGCCAAATACATTTTCAACAATGCGTCTTGCCCTTGAAAGTCGATAATTATAAATACGATTAATTCCAGGCTGATTTCTAAATGGATATGGTTTCATTAAATATGGTTTAAGCGCAAAAGCGTCGTCGGCAACAACTACATAAGGTACCTGCTTTGTACGTCCAGGTAGTGGCTCTGGAGGGGGCAAATTTAATGTATTATTTTGCAACGCTGTTGATAATCCACAATTATTAAAAACTCCTCCATCGGATACTCTTCCATTAGTACCAATATTAGCATATATAATTTTGTAATTTGCGTCAGCAAGTGCCATCAAAACAATACTATGTGTTCCTTTGTAGGTACTGACTTCCACTTCCAGGAGGGGCTTGTATAACAATATGCTTCCCGTCTAACGCTCCAACACAGTGAGGGAAGTTCCATTTTTCTTCAAACTGTTTTGCGTGCACCTTCCATTCTTCTTCAGTAGTGGGTACCTAAAAGTGAATGTTCTTTTAACCTTTGTAGGATGTATCAGAAAATATTGAAACTACCTCTTTCCAAGAGTTAACTGAGACAACGCCCAAAACTGACAGTAAGAAATGTACTAACAGAAAACGTAGTTACAATGATGCTATGGAAAAAGCAATGACAGAATTAAACAAGCCATCGGATGAGTTTGATATATTTGGAGAATTTGTTGCTTCTGAAATCAGATCTTTGCAACTTGACCACAATAGGAAGAAATTAAAACGTATAATTCAGAAAGCTATATTAGACATGTCTCAAATAGAAGAGGATGAAAGCTCAAGAAATCTATCTACATCCTTGTCTACACACTCCAAAACATCAGTATCTTCGAAAGAATCGGAAAATTCAATTTATTCCATTTACTCACCACTGCCTGCAATACCGATACAGTCACAGCCACAAATTTCAAATGTACTTTTCATTCCTCATTCATCATTCTCATACACTGATACAAGTTCTACATCTCAGGATTACCAGGAATTAGGTAAATAAATAAAATAAACTAAAATACTTACTTTAAAATAATCATTTTTTAGCACCTCGTTCAGAGCCTCACAACATTCTGGGATTATCTTTGAGATCGTACATACAGGGATTCGAAACAGATACATAAGTGAATGGTATGAATCACCTGAAATCAAAAAAGTTTTTTTTAATTTTTTATCCCCAGAATCAAAGTATTTTATTTCCCTGTTACTGTATCTTTGTTCTATATTCTATGGGTATTCTTTGTTTTGTTTAATAACATTTCTAAATAAAAGTTTATGTACTTCTACCGTTTAATTCCTGAAACTTACCTGTGGCTAAAAACCTTAAAGTTAGGGACAATCGTTCTCTTGGTTTGATCGATTCACGCATATTTGTATTCGATTTTGATATTTTATCTGAGATTAATTGTAATAAAAAGTTAAAGTCGGTTTCTGACATACGTAGAAAATTTTTAAATTTATTTGGATCTTCACTTCTCAATTCGTCTAATAACATCGTGTAAGCACCAAGAGTAGGCCTTCTGGATATCCATTGTTTAACCCATATTCTTTTTTTAGGTCCTTTTCTTCGCTCTTTTAGTGAAATTGCAATAATAAAAGCAGCTGATGCAGCTCTTTTTCTACGGCGAGACATTTATTCTGCACTAATTTTCCGTAAAAAACACTAAATGCTACTATACCGTGTATACACGGGAACAATCACTTGCTAAAATTAATGTCTAGAGAGCACTTGCTGAGAGAAATTGCATGTAATAATTTGCGTAAATGTAAACTCTCGCGCAAGTTACTTTGGGAAGTTCTATCGCAATTAACTATCCCGTGTAAACCACGCTTTACTCGAGAAGATAAACCCACGCGCATGCGATCAGCCCATCTCTCTCGCACTCTCGCACGCCTGACGTCACTGGGAGACTACCCGACTCAGCAACAGCCAGTTCTATACGGCGCAAAGCGGTTTTGCGTGTAATACTGATTATTTAATTTTGTTCTTTTGGTTTGTTGGGTATTAGAAGTAAACGTGCGTAAAGCTTTTGTTACCGTTTTTTTATTAAAAATAATTATGAACCCCCAAGAATACTAAACTACTTACCCCCAAAGAAACAAATTGTCAATTATCAGAGGCAATCCTGGTAACAGATACACCGACTAGCCCTTCGGCGGTGTGGGATTTATAACGCGCCAGATCCTTTGTAGCAGAATAAGGATCAAACTCTTTCGTTGTTCAGAACTCTGATAATAGGCAACCCCTTATAAATGATAACCCCGAAACAGTGTAGACAGATACACCAGAGTCAATTTCAGTGGTAATGTAGTCCAAAATTAAGTTAAAAAAAAAGGAAATAAGTACTAACCTTTTAAGGTCCAGGGTTTCACACTGGACTGATCTCTATGAACCTTTGTACGGTTTGGGAATCAAAAGAAAACACTAGGTTCCTCCCATACAATTTAATTCAACTAATTCTTGAATTGTAAATCCTCAACAGGATGACTTATTTACATATATGAGTACTCGGTCGGGCTCCGATTGTTCGAACAATTGGGGACTCCGCAAGCTATACAACCTAGTCTGCAAAGAAAAATATTGTAACAAATGTTTACAACGATATTAAATAAAAGAGCTACCCATAGCCAAATTGATTCAATACTTAAAAACTAACAAAGAACATTTAAATTAGATAATGTAACTTGTAAAACAAGATTACTACTTTTTTTAAAACTGAAGACATATTTCCCACAAATAACCCTGATTTAATAATAATAATTAACCTAAATATACAATAACATTTTAATTGTGTTGAAAGTTACATAAATTAGGCCTTACAAAAGGTCCATTAAAGCACAAAGCAAACTTATATTAATAAATGAATAATGACAATGGTTTAGGAGATTATTATAATAACGGGCGATAACACTTTATAATTAAAACCACAAAAATATATATATATATATATATATATATATATATACTAAGTTACCACAACTGTATGGGAGGAAAAAGAAAATAACTTAGAAAAAATTAATAGAAAACTTAACTTTCTTCATTGCCGGCGTCTCATCTTCTTCCCTGCAGACCAACTGATCACCTCCTGTGGCGACAATGGTAGTGAAACTAGGGCCACTGGGCCTAACCTCATGTAAAAAATGTGGAAAACTGGAAGTTGATTTCCTACCACTATTAAAAAAAAGGTTCCAAGGGGTACCGTGTGGGTTCCAGCCAGACACGGTACAAAGCTTGAAGAACGGGTTCCTTCTTTCTTCCGGTCGTTATCCCTGGATGAGGAATGGATGTTGAAATCCGGAAAAGGTGGCGTGGCGCTGAGAAGAGTTATAAATCCCCCATGAGGGTATGGTTGTACGGGCCACATGAACGATTCTATACCCACCAAAATCAAGGGTACGTTCTCCCGCTGCAACCAATAAAAAAAACAAATGTCCAAGAATGGATCCGGGAACTCCCGATGGAAACAGATTTCTTTCCAATATTATTCTCCTGGACATCCAACTTTCACAAGCGCAACCAAAAACCAACCTGCTTCTTCAAACGCTCGAACTAGAGAGAGAGTTCCACTTCTTTTTCTCTACCTCGCTATTGAAGTCCTAGAATTATTTTGGTCTTGACTACATTAAGCATCAAGCCAGCATGGCTAAATAATTTACTTAAAACCCTAAACATTACCCATATTCCCTATACAAAACTATTTATTCAGCTTATACGATCCAAAGTATTAAACTGAAAATATTACAAAGTCACTAACTAATTGAAAATAGACTATTAGAAAGTGATAGCCGAATACGAACTCAGTAAGATACCGCTTCAGCCTACTAAGTAAAAGGCCATCCAATACGGAACCTATTTACAGATTAATAACCGTTAAGGCCTGCTTACATTGCTATTAAAATAAAAATGTATTTATAAATTAAAAAAAGAACCGTGTTATATTTAAAAACATTGTTTTAAACATTTACTATGGTATACTATACAGTGGTAGGTTGTTCAAACAATAACAACCAAAAACATACTGCTGCAAATTGAATCAATATTTCCAAATTTCTGTTGCTGTTTAACTTTTAAGACGATTTATTACTTGTTTGTCCAAACCTTTTTAATTTTTACCCCTCTTTTTTACATTCATCCGTAATTTTTATAAAAATATTAAATTGATTGTAAAATAAAAATGTTTATATTTTAAAAACTCTAAAACAGGATTAACTCAATTCTTTTTTTCAAATATTTTGAATTTTTACCCCTCCCCTTTATACCTCTACCTGTATTTTTTTTTATTAAATCACTAAATGAATTTTAAAATTGAAATAATACGAGACTACTCGATTTTTTAAATATTTTAATTTAAATTTTTACCCCACCCCTTTTTACTCTTTTTCTAATTATCTATTAAAATATTAAATGGATTATAAAATCAAAATGTCCATCGCCAAAAACCTATAAAACGACATATTACTCGATTTTTACAAAAAATTGCATTTTTTTACCATTTTACCCCGATATTTCACCCCCTTCCCCTTTACCAATTTTACTCAAAAATATTCCAATCCGACCCCTAATGGCATAACACCT